TGAAGGCTGCCATAGCAGAAAGCCACACTGCTGAACAATGAAACTGAACCTTCACTGGTTACATTATAAATAACATTCTTAAGTCACCATGGTAATGGTTACTTTGGTTGTTTTTCAGAAATTTGGGCCAGCTCCTGTTCAGTTCAAACCCCCAGTTGAAAGCACCAACCCTTCAACTGGGCTTGCACAAGTGCCCAAGCAATGGCCTTTTCATGTCAGAGGACCAAAAGCTCCATTATCAGATCACATTAATGTTACCATTCTCTGTACATATGTCCAGTGAAATACCATGAACCCCAACTACACTTGCATAGAATAAACCTGTTACTTAAATTTCCCCTATTGTCAGTCACCTTTCCCCATATCTCAGACCATCCTACTTCTCTAAATCATAAATCATAAATATCTCTGAGCTTTATCTTGAGGGAGGTAAATTTGAGAGCTATTCTCCTACCTCTTCACTTTTTGGCCTTAAGCTTGAATATTTTCATTTATTTGGTTGGTTGGTTTGTTTTTGAGATAGGGTCTTGGTCTGTTGCATAGACTAGAATGCTGTGGCATCAGCATAGCTCACTTTAACTTCAAACTTCTGTGCTCAAGAGATCCTCCTACCTCTGCCTCCTAAGTAGCTGAAACTACTAAAGTGCATGCTATTGTATCTGGCTAACAAATCTTTTCTCTTTTTCAAAACCTACGTCACAGTGATTGACTTATTACACATAGGCAGAATAGACCTAGAGGTATCATATTTCCATTTTCTTTCTTTCTTTTTTTTTTTTTTTTGAGACAGAGCCTTGAGCTGTTGCCCTGGGTAGAGTGCGGTGGCATCACAGCTCACAGCAACCTCCAACTCCTGGGTTGAAGTGATTCTCTTGCCTCAGCCTCCCAAGTAGCTGGGACTACAGGCGCCCGCCACAATACCCGTCTATTTTTTTTTTTTGGTTGCAGCCATCATTGTTGTTTGGTGGGCTCAGGCTGGATTCGGACCCACCAGGTCTGGTGTATGTGGCTGGCAGTTTAGCTGCTTGAGCTATGGGCACCAAGCCTCATTTTCATTTATTTCAATAATTTTTTAATGTTCTTCTTGATTTCTTCATTGACACAACAATGGTTGTTCAGGAATATGTTATTTAATTTCCATGTATTTGTACAGTTTCCAAAGTTTTCTGCTGTTGATTTCTAATTTTATTCCATTGTGTTCTGAGCAAACACTTGATATGACTTCAGTTTTTTAAAATTTGTTAAGATTTGTTTTGTGGTTTAACACCTGGTCTATCCTGGAGAATGTTCTATGTTCTTCTTCTGTGAATGTCTGTTAGATCCATTTGGTCTAAATTGCTGTTTAAATCCAATATTTCTCTGTTGATTTTTCTTTTTTCTTTTTTCTTTTTTTTTTTTTTTTT